GATTTTATATATTGTATTACAGCTTTAAGCTACAATGAGTTAACGATTGTCCCTTGTTATATTACCTTGCATATTATCATGAACAGATGAAAACTGCTAGGGTTCTTCTGGTTCTTTACATCATCTATATTATTTATATGTATGACTAGGTCCGTTGGGGAGAGGACAGTTAAGAAGCTTAGGTTATCTAAGGCACTTACAATTCCTGAGGGGACCACAGTGTCTGATGCCTGTCGGAGGATGGCAGCCAGACGTGTTGATGCTGTGCTGCTAACTGATGCTAATGCCTTGCTCTCAGGCATTGTCACTGACAAGGTATTTATGTATTGAGAATGCAGTGCATAATTCTTGAGTGCAAAAGGTTGTGTTGTTTGGTTTTAGATTCATGATGTGTATGCTAAGGGGAAGCAAGAAGAACTCTTAGGTAATGTAGCTAAATATGCTAATGCAGTAAGCATGGAATGGTACAGTTACTCTATCATTGCCCACCCCCATTTACCCAAGTAAAAGGTTCAGATGTTGAGTGCTTTGGTTATATTTTAGGAAGGCTGATGTGTGAGTGTCAATTTCTTATTTATTTATTTTTATGTGTAGGACATTGCGACTAGGGTTATAGCTGAGGAGTTGAGGCCAGAGCAGACGATAATTTCCAAAGTGATGACGAGGAATCCCATTTTCGTGACTTCAGATACTTTGGCCATTGAAGCCCTTCAGAAGATGGTCCAAGGTTGCTTATATTTTCATTTCGTGATGCTTGGAAAGGCTTGTTTAATTTAAGAGTGAACACAATTTTGTTAAGTTGTGCTTGAAGTATCATAATTATAATACCATAAGCATAATTATTGTGGAATGAATGGGTAACTTGTTCAGACGAGTATGATGGTAGGAAACGACCATTACAGTTCTGCTCTAGCCTCAGAAGGTAATATGAATAAATTGGTATTGGGGATGGTGATATTATATGCTCATAAAGAACAAAAAAAGAGATGGAAATATGAACTATTTCAGGATGGACAGATCACTATAGTTATGTGCCTTGAACTTGCATGATTGTTCTTTTTTAAATCTTATAGTTGAGGCTAAGATTTCTCGCTGCTTGTAAGATTATATTTTTATAAACTGGTTTACTCTGTTTTTACATCACTTTTTAAGTTTTTATCCTTCCAATTTCTACGAACTTATTTTCCCTGGATATTATTCCTAGATTATAATTTATTAACTCTTGATGTTCTCTTAGTTACTGATAATTGACATCAAGTAACTTTTTGGGCAGTCGACCTTTTGAATGTATTTTTTTACTTATAATTACTGCCAAAAAGTCTGTGTTCCTTATATATATATATATATGTATGTATATTAATTATTGTTATTATTATTATTATTATTATTTATTATTATTATTTTTATTATTTATTTCTTTTTTAATCCCTGGTTGTTTCTTTTACCTTTAACAGGAAAATTTAGGCACCTTCCCGTTGTTGAAAATGGTGAAGTTATAGCTTTGTTAGATATCACAAAATGCCTTTATGATGCTATATCAAGAATGGAGAAGGCTGCAGAGCAGGGGAGCGCCATTGCGGCTGCAGTTGAAGGAGTGGAACGCCAATTTGGAAGCAATTTCTCTAGTTAGTTCATACTTAAATGCTTATTTGCTATGGACTATTGATTGTGTGCAAGGAATATTAGCTGTGTTAGTGCTAAACAAATTTATTATCTTTGTTTTGAGGATTAGTTTTTATTTTATGTTCTTACACGCATCATTACCATGTGAAGAACAAAAACACAAAATTTAATATGCGTTGCATTATTCATTCTATGAATATCGGTTTTCCTTACGACATCCCAAATTTTATAGACAAATAGAGCATGTGTTGTGGAAGCTCCGAAGTGATGGCCGATAGGTGAGGTAAATTGAAATTGCACCAACCCCCTACCCTCAGCAGCGTTTGGCCTCATGAACGGAAGTATCTTATGTGGTTAGATTGCATGACACCGGTTTCCTTTATTTGGTTAATTAGACTGACGTAGACATATTAATGAAATGAAATATAAAAAAAGATAAAAAAGTATAAAGTTTTTTCTGGTGGGACGTTCTAGTGAAGCCTTTCACCCATTAGATTAAGAATATTTATTTATTTTTTTCCCTTATGAGATGATATGTTTTACAACTGAGTCAAAATCGCTGAAGCTTTATAAACTACTCAAAGTCTCAACATTCCCACTAGTCAAAGTAGTAGCTATTAAAGCCTTTATAAACAATATAAAGTCGTAACATTGTCAGGAAATCAACGTATGGCCTTGACTGGCAATCCTTTAGTTTAAACTCTCCTCGGCACCTCTCTAGTATGGGCCTTCCATCTAAAATTCCTAGTTCTCATGGGAACTTTTTTCTATGGATTGATAGGACTCTTGTTTAAACTGTTGACCTTGGCAAGTTGTTGAGGCCAAGCCTTTAGACTGAAAGTGGAAGCCAAGCATCCCTGCAGTAGCTTAGTAGTCCTAAGACCACTCAAACAGTCCTAACTACTGTAGGATTGATTTTTATAATTTATATCACTTCAACGGTATTTATATATATTGAAATTCTGCATGCAGGAGGCCTTATCGAACTGTTTAGGATTGACATTACTTTTGTTCATCTGCTACACATATCTAGTTTATTTACGCAATGACGTTTAATGTTGACATAATTGTTATGCTCTTTTGGCTTTCTTCTGTATTTCAGCGCCATCAGCTTTTATTGAAACACTTAGGGAGCGCATGTTCAAGCCTTCTTTATCTACTATTATTTCTGAAAATTCCAGGTGCAATTGAACTGGCCTAATGGTAATTATTAAGAGTATGGTCTGCTTGAAGTTGCAGTTTATGTTACTAACTTCTTAATATTCTAATGTTTCAGGGTTGCGATAGTATCACCTTCAGATCCCATTCATGTTGCTGCTAAAAGGATGCGTGAATTGCGGGTTAATTCAGTTCTTATTATGATGGGAAACAAGATTCTGGGGATACTTACGTATAGTTTCCTCTGAAAGCCTCTTTTTCAAATTGATATATCTTGTATAGAATATTATCAATGAGCTTTATTGGAGGGTTTATTGTCTGCATTATCTTACCTTTTGAAAACTCATAATTGTCCGTTGGGAATTCACTGCAGTTCAAAAGATATTCTTATGCGAGTTGTGGCTCAAAATCTCTCTCCTGAGCTGACTCTAGTGGAAAAGGTTTTACATCTCATTTGATTTAGATATTCGAGTTTTTGAAACACTATATTTACTTTTGTTTGCATTCTCACTTTGGTCTACTTAGGTCCCTTGTTACTATTTTTTAGTGATCTTATGATATTTGACATTTATCATGAAACCGCATTTGATCAATTTATTTATTTTTAATAAATACAGGTTTGGTGTGTATGACTTGTATGATGCTCGACATTTAATGTGTTATTTTAATATGTAGAAATATATTTGGTTGTTTTGGGCATTATGGCTTTGTTAAATACTATGTCGATCCCTCTGACATGATTAGCAAGACAGAATCTTCTCATGTCACGTTGTAAAAATAAAAGAAACTCAGATATAGTAGAATTCACGTCTTTTAATTTTCATCTCACTCTTTATTGTTTGAGTAAAGATGTTTGTGATGACTTATTATGTCAATGTGCAATTTCTCTTTCTTAAGGTAATGACTCAGAACCCTGAATTTGCAACACTAGAGACAACAATACTCGAAGCGTTGCATATAATGCATGATGGGAAGTTTTTACATCTTCCCGTGGTAGACAAAGGTGATTACTGCTATTTAATTGAAAAATGTGAATACACAGCTTTCAAATCCATAACACTATTTTCTTGGCAGATGGAAGCATTGCTGCCTGTTTAGATGTTTTGCAAATATCACATGCAGCAATTTCTATGGTAAAGTTAGTTTCACTTTGAATCTATAGATATCTGCAGATTCAATTTGTGGTGTTTTTCTTTTCTGTCTTTTTTAGTTTTCAGGATGCGACCTATGAAATTTCCCCTGAATTTGATATATTGGTGATAGCTAATATGAAACTATTATTTATTTGATTTGAAGTACGTTAATGAGAGCTTGTGATATCCTAGATATGATCTGTTAGACATAATTGATAATACAATGAGAATTCTGTCTTCACACCTTGGTTCTTTTTTCCCCTCTAGTTGATAACTCTTTTTATCTTTGGTAACTTCGGAGGACTTCATGCCTCTGGAGTCCTCTATGTTGTTCTCATGAGCAGAAGATAGACAATATTATCAATATATTCTTTCAATGCTGGTAAAAGTGTGTGCTTATTCAGTTTCTAATTTCTTATGGATAGATAAAAATCTGTAAATAGCGCATATACTGGGTTAAGGATATAGTATGTAATTTTGTTCTGTACCAGGCTATGTAGAAAATATATTTTCTTGAACAATATTGCTAAGTTCTTTATAAGTGCATCTTTATTAGATATTTACTTGGATATATTTCCAGGATTGTTTTGCTCTTTTGTTCTCCAACTGTCAACATTTTGGTTCAAATTGTTGTTGTTGTTGATGTTGATGTTGTTGTTATTATTTATTTATTATTATTATATTATATTTATTTATTTATTATTATTATTTTTTTTCAATTGAATTTGTAAGTGCAATATCTGGAAAATCCTAACATTCCAAGGGAAAGCATTCGCATGCTTTACTGAATGTCACTGGTCCTGTAACTATGTGCTTTTAAAATCTGATGAATACAACGCTAAATGTTCCCCTGGATTATATAAGTGCTTGAAATATGCCTTCTTGTATTCAAAAGTACTGGCTCTTGCATACGTGGGACGAAAAATTATGAATATGTACGTATATATACATTTGATTTCTCAAAGATTTTGGCAAGAACTAAGTTATTTTTAATATCTTTCTTAAGGTTGAAAGTAGCCCTGGCGCTGTTAATGATGTGGCAACTACAGTAATGCAAAAGTTCTGGGATTCAGCACTTAATTTAGAGACATCAGATGATTTTGACACTCACAGGTCACTTTTAGTTTTCTTGTAAATAAATTATCTTGATGACACACCGCTACTCATGCATGCTGTCCTATACAGTGAGATGTCAGTGTCTCAATTCATGGCATCAGATGCTATGGAACCTGGGAAATCTGCATACCCATCCCTTGGTCTTGGGAATTCATTTGCTTACAAATTTAAGGACCATAAAGGACGTGTACACCGATTCAACTTTGGTGAGTGTATAGAGCCTATATGACATGTTGGGCTTTGATCTTGATTTATTTCTTTAATTTTCTCCATATCATGCATGCCTATTGTCATTATTTATAGAACTTAAATGCAAGCTATTGGGTTTTACTGTGTTAGATACTACAGTTTATGCCTTCAAAAGAAATTCATGAAACAATATTGTGACATATGGGATAATTGTACTAAATATAGGAGCTTTGTGTTGGGATGCATGTGAGTGTATAGAGCCTATATGACATGTTGGGCTTTGATCTTGATTTATTTCTTTAATTTTCTCCATATCATGCATGCCTATTGTCATTATTTATAGAACTTAAATGCAAGCTATTGGGTTTTACTGTGTTAGATACTACAGTTTATGCCTTCAAAAGAAATTCATGAAACAATATTGTGACATATGGGATAATTGTACTAAATATAGGAGCTTTGTGTTGGGATGCATGGAGTTTTGGACTATAGATTAAGAAGAAATGAAAACAAAATGGAAGGGTCATGAGAAGCCAGAATAGTGCTCACATTTGTAATACTAATAATGTATATGGTACCAAGTAGTGCCATTGATTTCATCAAAAGCTAACTTTCTAGGCAACCAATGGTCGTGATCTATGAAGTACGGAAGTTTCTACAAGAATGGTGTGTCTGGGACGTATCATGTTGTGCCTGACACCAACACTCCATTGGCACTCTAGGACATGTCTGATACAGCAATTGTCCTCTCCTGAAAAGGTCCCATTTCATAAATTTGAACTATAAAATTGAAGAAAGTTTAATTATCTGAAGATTTGTCTAAAAAAGTCAAAATGATTTAGAAAACTTCTTGTTAAATTTGTTTTACGTCTAATATATGCTGTTTTCTATCTTTGGCACTATTTATATAGTTTAACTCTATTTTATTTTAATATAATAACAAATAACTACTCCTATGATTTAAAAGATTCACTAATATAAATCAAAAGGAAAAAGATATTTGGTTTATTAAAAAGTAACAAGTATTGATATAAATCGACCTTGCCCCCTCATTTCCATTCCAGCTTGTTTGAAAATTTACGTGTTGACGTGTCGTGTCGTGTACATGCATGTCCAAGTTAGTTTCTGTGCTTCTTAGGTATTGATGTTATGGTGCAAATATGTCCTTATTTGGAAACATTGTTGGGCTCAAGCTGGAATGGGTGGTCACACTTTTGTTAGCTTATATTTAATTAGGCTGTGAAGCTCTCAAGCAAAATTCAAATTTTCTCACCATCCTAGGAGGGTAAAAATAATTATAACTGCCCAATAATTATTATCTGGTTTGACTGGAAGGAGGGTGAGGAACGATGACAGTGGTTTGACTGCTGGTATCCCTGTTGGCCCACCTCAAGATTGTGCCTTTTTTTACTTGAGTTGCTCCCTGCTCAAAAAATTTGATATTATTCTATGACTCGGATCAATATGTTTGGGAGAAAGCTAACTGGGGAGGTTTTTTAAATGCATTCCTTATAGTTGGTTGTTGTTCGGTTAATAATGGCAACGATTATCTTTGGCTACCTTTTGTGCTTAAATCTTGTTTGAAAGTTGATGAATTTATACCTTTTCCACAGTGGATGAAATAGCTGCCTACTGTTTAACAGAACCATGGAATAAGATACCTCTTTCTTCTGTGAGTAGGGGGATTCTTATAGCATAACCAACTTATAGCACAGCCAATCTAAGAAGGGAAACAAATGCCTATATTTTGATCTTAATGTCCCTCCTGCTGAGACAGACCTCACTCCCCCTACACCACCCCACCTAATAGTGGACCCAGGGGCACTAGAGCATAGACTTAAAGAGTACTCCCTAAGATTCTGCTATGCGTTATTTGTAACTATACTCATAATGCATTCTATCTCAATAGGGCTTTTTTATAAGTAAAGTTGCTTTCTCCTATTTATTAAAGTGAACAGGCGACAACAGCACAATCATTGCTTCTTGGAACTTAGAGTATAATCTCTTACGGCCTGCCACTGCTATTGTTATTTCTTGTGATATAAAAAATACATGTAGTGTCTAATTAAAATTTCTGACCTTTTATTGCACTCGTCAACTTTTTATTTTTTCTAGTGACGAGGATATTGACAACAGTTGTACAAGGTTTACAACTGTTGGCCTTGCGAACTTAGCTGTCTGAATTTGAGCTTACAGCGTTGTCTATAGCTTCTGTATTTTAGTCGACTTGTAATAATGTTCGATACCTTCGGTCAATCATGGATTTACTATTATTTCCATACATACCAGGTTCTGAGATTGCATGTGGAATACCAAGATTCAAGTGAAGTTACGACAAAGCCACAGTCGGATACTGCCACTGTGGGGAGAGCTGGACGGATTGCTCTTGGCTCTGTGATTTTTGCTGGAGCAGTTGGTTTGACAAGCATCGGCGTATTGGTCTACTTGAAGCGCTCAAAGGCATGATATCGGTGGAGAGAAACTCACCATGATATCTGAAATCTCCTCATATTATAGATTTTACCCGTGGAAAGTTCAAATTGTGATTCGGGAGAGCGGCTTTAGTTCTTATAATCATCGACTGATGGATTCTTTGACCAAGTGGTTAACTACATGGTAGAAGAACAAATTTTATGCACACTTTGATCTCTGTCATGATTGTAGCACTTACAATGATGACGAAAGAGAAAAACAAACGATATTTGAAAGGTTATTTATAAGGAAAAATATAATTCAAAGGTAGTGAAAATTGTATTATCTTGTCTTCTTAATGTTCATATTAAAAATGTTGCTGCTTTCGAGGGGTAAGAAACGGGCTCTCTATGTCAAAATTGTTGATTGGTGAAGTTCGAGTTTTGTTGTTTGTCTTTTGGCGAAAGGAATGAATTTGAGGGAAATACGAAAGAAGAAAAATATTAATCTCTTTTAAATAGATATATTGAGGGTGTTGTAAATTATATATTCATTAGTGACTAATTATTGGGAAGGTTATATTATCACTATAATTTTTATTAGTTAAATCACATTTTAATTGTAGTTAAGTTCTTCGGTCTTCCTTTGTTGTAGTAATTATTTTCTTAATTTTTTTTCTTTGAATGTTTATCTTCAACCTTCTATTAATGAGTACATCTTGTATCTTTATTATGATTTATGTTAAATATTTTGCTTCCATGCTTTGAAATGAAAGAAAAATAATTTTTTGTATTTATTTATTTATCTTTTAAAAATATAATGGAAAAATAATTTGCTATATGCTTTCGACGAATTGTTTGAATATAAATTGTAATCAAATACAAAATATGTTAATTAACGGAAAGTTTGAAGATAGGAATGTCATGAAAAATTGTAAGAAACATAAAATAATATAACGAGTAAAAATTGAGAACTTTATGTGTAATTAAAATACGGTGTAGGAAATAAAATTTGTAGTGGATATAATTATCCTAACCATTGATCTGGAGCCCCTAGTTATTCTGACTATTGTATTTTTTGTAATGCTAATTTTTCCGACAAATGCGAGGTTTTGGTTATCAACAAAATACATACTAGTCTATTGACTTTTTTACCTTCTTCACTTATTTATTTTTATTTTTTTATTTTTTAATGTGTTATTAATACCAGTCTCTAAAATCTAGGCAAATTAATTAAAAGATCCAAGACTAAATTGAATTACCATGTATTCTCGTACTTTTAATTCTTAACGTCAAGAGAAAGGCAAGGCGCTTCTCACAAAACTCAAGAAACGTTCAGGGTCCGTTTGATTGTAAGAATGAAATTTGGGTGAAAAAAATGAATTTTAGGGAATTTAATTGCCTAGAACTTGTTTTACTGAAATTGTTAATAAATGTATTTGATTGATATAATTTTTCATCTAAAAAATGTTGAAATTTTGGACCTTTTGGTATTTGTTTGACTTTATTTTTTTTTTTATGAAAATTGTCAATTAAAGAGAATTTTTTATTTATTTTACAATTGCGGATAGAATTTGTTCCCATTGATGAAAAAAATAGGAAAAAAATATAAAAAAAAACAAAAGAGCTGAAAACCCCAATTCTCACCAAAATGGTGGGAATTGATTTTCCACCAATTTAAGGAAAAAGGTCACGTGTGGGTGGGGGTGCAGGGAGCGAAGGAAAAATGAATTCCATGAAAAAATTGTTACAAACAAACAACTCAAAAGGTGGAAAATGAAAAATTCCATGGAAAATTTTCCATATCAAACATGCCCTTACTAAGAAAGTCCAATTGTATTGCAATTAAATTTGTGAGCCTGCTGTAGCGATGACAATTGGGCTCGTCGGTTCGGACCGCTTGTTGCTCGGTTTGAAAAAAGTTCGAGCTTGCCCAGCTCGAGGCTCGAGAGAACCGAGCAGAAACTTGGGCCGAACCCCATTTTTAGGTATTTCGCTAAGCTCGAGCCGGCCCGTATGGCTCGCTGACTTAAGAGAACCAAGCATATATTATAAAAAAATAAAAATAATAATAATAAATTAATGGTAGCAACATGTTACCTTAAAAGGGGCAGCGTGCTGCTGCCTTTTATAATAAATAAATAAAAAAAATTTGAGCCGGCTCGGGTTGGAAATGCCCGAGCCGAAAGCTCAAGTCAAGCCTAATTTATTTTTTGCCTCAAGCCCAGAAAAAAGTTCGGACATTTTAGCCGAGCCTAAAATTTCAACTCGTGAGCCGACTCGACTCGTTGACATCCCTAGCATGCTGCCAATGTTGAGGAAATTTTGCCCATCAACTTTTTCTAAAAGTAATTTCATGAAATACTGTGCAATTAAATTTTTTCATTTTTTACTTCAAAAATTTAGTATTATGGAAAAGGTTATGTATCACTTCACTCATCCTAGGCGTATCAATTTTTGAGCTGATGAGATGCTATCAAACATGCCCTTCCCAATTTTGTTTGTACTCAGATAATCAATTAGCATTGATTTTCCCACCAAACATGCCCCTCCCAAAGCAATTCAGCCATCCCAAAACGAGTAATGCTCAAAATGAGCCTTTCAGAACAATCTCAGGGAAATGAAGAATCACAGCAAACGGATC